AAAGTAACAGATGAAGAGCTTGCGTAAAAGTTATACTGTGAACTGTCAATTTAATATAAATGTTTAATTCAAATTTTATTTAAAAGGTGAATGTCCAAGCTTTCATTTAATATATTGGACAAATTTATCCGACAAATATTTTTAATGCTAGCATAAAAAAACTGATTTTTGTTACTTTCCTCCTCGGTCTCCCCTAGGGCTCGTTGGATGCGGATTTCGATAAGCATTGGAATGGTATTTTTAAAATTATTCTTATTTTATTTGTTCGTAAAATATTTCATTATTTATTAACTTTTGTTAGTTAATTAATTAATATCTTGAAAACAAAAAATAATGCCATCTCAAAAATTTAACCATCGATTTATTATAACTTAAACAATATTCATGATTTTTTTCGCGCTTAAAAATGAGGGAGAACATGTTTAAAAGTTATAAACAAATTTTATTTTTTAAACAAATTGTTTAAAAATTAATATTTTTTTTAAAAAATAATTTTTTTCTAAAAGTTTAAGGTCTTTTGCGTAAAAAACATTCTCAACATTTTTCTCTATTTTTAGAAGGGAAAAAGTTATAACACGGAGAGAAATAGATGGTAAGAATTTATGATCTTCAGATGGTAAAAAGTAGATGTTATCCGGTACTATCGTTATGCTACTCGGTACTATCAAAGATGTTACAAAAAGTATGGTTATGTTACCCACTACAATCATGATATTACCCCGTACAATCTGGATAGTAACTGATAGAATGTAGATTGCTGTCCGTATATGTAAGATCAAATATGGTACCTGGTACTATCTAGATAGTACCCCGTACCAACTATTTCTCTCCGTGAAGTAAAACAAAAAAATGTTGCTCTAATTTGTTATTGTAAATATCTCGAAAAATATTTAAAATTTCAAATTCAAAATTTTTACACTTATTTAGCACCACTATCACTACAATTTACCGAATTTTGAGAAAAATCCGAGATATGACCCCGTATTCTCATATGAAATGCCTCATATACATATTCAATTTGTAAAATTTTATATAAACACCCATTTTAATAAATATTAATAGATAAAATCTATTTTATAATTAATTTTTGTGATTTTTTTAATTGGTCAATTTTCTTCAATTTTTTTGCACTTCAGTTGTTCAAATAATTATTTTTTTTTTTAAATAATGCAAAAACCAATATTTTTTCTAAAAGTGTATCTATTCACCTTTCAAAATCTGATCGATATTTTTAAAATAGTCTAATTTTCGAAAAACTACACGGAAAACATTATATCAGTATATTTTACAAAACTAGTTTCGGAATATCGGATACGGAGAGGAGTTTAGTATAAGTTAAAATAGAATCAAATATTTGAAGAATGTTTTTCACAAAAACTAGAAGAAAACTTTTGTGAAATTCACGAATGGTGTCAATCTAAGTTCTCCAGTAATCAGTTGGATGTTTTGATTCAAGAGTTTTGTAAAATGTGTCGCGCGTTCATGAAGCGCATGCGCAGTTTAACAACTCGCTGACAAAAAAACTTATAAATCCTGAAATTACTGTTAATTAATTAAACGCATTATTACACACCTGAAACACATTTTAAATTATATTTACGCTTTTGGGGTGCTCCCTACTGAAAATCCCTGTACAAGATCTTGTACAATTTCCTGTACAGGATCAGCAACTGAACTTGTACAAGTTCTGACCAGTTTCTGTAAAGGAAAATGCATACGAATTTGGAACAAGTTCATATGTGAGATCTTGTACAAGAATGATACTTGTACAAGAAAATGTACATGATCTTGTACAATTTCATGTATAAGTACTTGTACATGAACACGTTCATGTTCTTGCACATGTATAGTTGTAAAATTTTTTTTTTTAATAAAATTTGAGATTTTGATAATTTTTAACCACTAAGATTCGTAACTCATGCATGCTAAAAACTATTGCGCAGCTGTAAAGGTTAAAGTAAACTATTGCGCAGCCTTTGAAGTTTTTAATTTTTAGTAAAGAAAAACATGAATTAACATGTGCAAGAACATGGACGTGTTCATGTACAAGTACTTATACATGAAATTGTACAAGATCATGTACATTTTCTTGTACAAGTATCATTCTTGTACAAGATCTCACATATGAACTTGTTCCAAATTCGTATGCATTTTCCTTTACAGAAACTGGTCAGAACTTGTACAAGTTCAGTTGCTGATCCTGTACAGGAAATTGTACAAGATCTTGTACAGGGATTTTCAGTAGAGCTAGCATTAAAATACTTTACCTCAAAATACGTATTTGAATAAAATGAATAGAATAAAACACAAAGATTTACATAGCCATACTAAGGAAGTTTGGAAATTTTGTATTTATAGGAATAATTGGATTTTTGCTGAATACGTTGCTTTGTACTACAAGTTATATATCTTCGAACAAGTTATATTCATATCATATTATGATCGAACTTCTTTTGTAAGTTCGTTTAATTATTAATTTTTTGTCTCAAAACCATCAGAGTTTGTAATTTGAAATTTATTAAATGAAAAATATTGGTTCAAAATGCAGTTTCTAAAATCAAGGAACTCTTATACATGAGATAAGAAAATATTCATTTTGCCTGAAAGCAACATTTGTCCTGAAAGTGTTAAATATTTATTTGAAATTAAAAATAATTTTTTAAACAACCTTGTGTCCGGTTCATACTTTAATTTTGGCTAAATCAGGTTGAAAGAGGGGAAAGTCATTTTTAATAATTCAGTCTTATCGGTCATTAATATAAAAATTACTAAGAATCTAGAAGTTTTGACTATATTTTTGTTTAATCCATATGGTAGTTTCTTTTAGTTTTTATAATTTAATTTTTAACATATCAGCTATACTTATACCTAGAATACTAATTCTAAGTCTATAATTCGTCGATTGAGGGCAGAAACACGCCAATTCAGGCGAATGTTGAGAAACATGACAATCTAAAAAAAAATATTAAGGAAACCTGCCATTCCAGTGAAGGTTTCAAAAACAAGCCATCTCAGATGTCAAATTTTTGTTGATTATTTTAGGTTGGTAACACTGTAAACGAAAAATTGATGAGTCAAAATAATTAATATTTTGTTGAATATTGATGATTAAGTCGGTAGAACCATAATAATTTTATTATTAATAATTATACTTTTCTTAATTTTTAATATTGATTTCAAGAATAAAATTTTGTTAACTATAATATAACATTCTCAAGAAAGTGTTACCAATCTAAAACAATCAACAAAAATTTGACATCTGAGATGGCATGTTTTTGAAATCTTCACTGGAATGGCAGGTTTCCCTAATATTTTTTAGATTGTCATTTTGTAATTCTCAACATTCGCCTGAATTGGCGTGTTTCTGCCCTCAATCGACGAATTGTTTTTTAACTCCATAAATCCTAAAAATAACTAATTTAGCACATGTTTTAATTATCATTATTTTGATAAGTCATTTACTGGCATGTGTTAATGTTCCACTAAAATTAATAATAACTTCCTGGGCAAAAAACTATGTTCGTTCCAAGAACGTTCTTAAAACGTTTTTAGAACGTTTCATGTCAGCCAAAAAATGTTGTAGAACATTATTTGGACATCCATGTTCTTAAAATGTTTCAGAACATTATTTGGCGGACATGAAACGTTCTAAAAACGTTTTTAAAATGAAATGGTTTTTTGACTACTGGGACAGGAAAACAAATTCGGGTCAACTTCTGAAACCAGAAAAGTAAGAACTTTCTTAACGTATTTTTTACGCTGAACTCGAATCTGTCGTTAGATTTTCTCTAACACGTCACATTTGAAAATGGCAGATCCAATATGGCGGGAAAAATTAAAAATCAATAACATTCGCTTGAAACTTGTTTCTAGGGGTTTTTTGGAGTCTCTGATTACGAATATGAATTCAGATTTCACAAATTTGAAATAATAAGTTTCAAGAAAATCCGTTTGATTTTTAATATTTTCGTCCGCCAAATTGGATCCTTCATTTTGAACTTTTAAAATCTGTCTTGGAATTCGTAATCAGCAACTCCAAAAACCTTTAAGTAAGTTACGACTTTTTTTTCTAAGTCACATATTTCGATTTTCAGTAACAATTGTTGCAAAAAATTAAAATTGAAATTATCTCGAAAACCTAATGTATAGTGAAAAACGGACTGCTAATTCAAATTCAGCGTTAAAATTTACTTAAGTAACAGGTTTTCGTTGCTTGGGTCCAAAACTAACAAAAACTAGAAAACAAGATAACTTAATAAAATGCACTTATTTGTTTTACCTTCGTTTCTATAAAATTGAGGTCTAAGAATTAATTTTAGATATTTTTAAATTTCATAAATATAGACAGCCCTTTTTTTAATTAATTCGGTGTCAGTTCCCCCACAGCACCTAAAATTTCTGCAATATTGACATTTTTCTGCAATTTTATCAGCAATATTACAATATTGAGGTAGAATATTTAGGTGCTACGTGGATTAGAAATAAAAAAAACTCGCTTGAAAGTATAGAAATGAAAAGTTTATTCGACGTTTAGCGTCCAAAAATTATTTTTGACAAACAAAGAAATTTAAATAAATTTTTAAGATTTAAGGTTCAAATGCAATTCCAATCATCAACGTATTTGGAAACCCTATCATTTTAACCTCGCCCCCTAAATAGTAAAATCTACTTAAAATAATAAAATATTAATGAAATAAAAATAGAGATTAAAGAAATAAATAAAGTATAAATTAAATTATTTTATTAATTAACAATAATAATTTTACTATTTTTATAAGTTTTTCCTTTTTTCATATATATATATTTATATTTACGTATATAAACTTTGATTTCTTTAACATTTACGTGAAACCAAAGGACTGACATGACGATATCATTTAATGCACTTAAAGTGCATACTCTATAGTGTAGACCCTATAGTATAGGGTTTACAGTGCAGAAATCGATAACGATGGTGAATTTGATTAAGAAGCATGCTCTTAATAAAAAATTAAAATTACCCTGTAGCATGTTGTGATCTGCGTCCTCATCTACGAGACAGTGGAGTCTGTCTATTGTTGGTGATAGCAAACTCATCCTGACGATTTAATTTTCGCAGTTTTCTAAATCACGTTTGTAAGACAGTAACTAAATGACTAGAAAAATTACTATCAAGTCCGATATTCTCAACAAGAATTAAAATATAAAAAAGATTAGCAACCTGGCTGCTTGTAATGCAGGCAATGTTATCAGTGACACTCTGTACTCATAATAATCATTGACAGTTAAAGTCACAACAAATTTTTTTTTTATTCTTGTTGTTCACAATTTGGTTGTTTTATAGAAATTTTCAATCTGTTTTAAAGATAATAACGCTTTTGGTACTCATCGATCCTTGGAAATTGTAGAATCTGAAGAAACTGACTTACTTTCACTTTACTTGTTTGATTATTTTATCTCAAGAGTTCAACCTTGTTTTCATTGATGGTCTGAAATAGTCTTGAGAGGCGTGATCACTTTTTCATTTTTCTTTAAGCAACTGTCCAGATGTTAGTTATTATTATCTCAATGTTATTTTGGCACGAGAATTTTGCTATCACAAACACTAGCACTGTCACCACTGTGACGACATAATACAGAGGATGCTTTACCTTGCCCCGTTGACACGGTGTGTAGACGACGACGCATGGCGCGTGCAAGTCGCTCCTCTGCCCGCGAATGTCGTGAGTATCAATCAATAAAACTGCTGCGCGACTGCGCTTCACGGAGTTAAGAATGACGAAAGTAACAATACGAAATGATTGATATAATATTATGATTTCTCATATAGTGCAACGAAAGTATTTTATTGATAAAACAAACACTTCGCACATATATTTTTTTTAATGAAAATTTTTCTTTTAATATTAATAGTAAACATTTTTTTAAATAAACGACTAATAATCATTCTTTGCACATTTCTAAAGTCATAATAGAACCTTGAGGCAAACATTTTAATATTATTGTAATATTACGAATCTTACATGCAATATGACAGTGTTATTAGGGTAATATTACATCTACACCTACTTCTGGAGTAATATATACCAGGCCTCCGACTTTTTTCGACTTATTTTAATAAGATGCAACTTTTTCGACTTTTTTTTACAAATTTTTTTAACAATACACGTCTTTTTTAGTATACAATGTAGATCTTCCTAAAATTTTCTTTATTTCAATTATTTAACAAATTTTAACTAAAATTTTTCTCTAACTTAATTATTTTTAATAATTTTAATGAAATTCTTCACAAATTCAATTATTTTAAACTATTTTTCAATTAAAAATATTATAAAATTTAATAATTGCTTAAAATTTTTAAAAATCAGCAAATAAAATTACCAAAAATTTAAATTTTAAATCTTTTTTTTAATTATTTTCAAATTTTTCCATCTAAAACTTTCTGAAATTTAATAATTTCAACTATAACTGTTCCGAAATATAATTATTTTAAATGATATATTCTAATAACATTAGGCAGCGTTGAACGAACGAAACATTTTTTTTTCGATTAATAGATATATTTTGGATTTTTTTCCTTTGTACAATTTTCCTGAATCTAAAAATAACGCATTTTCGAGCTACGTTTGACATCATTTAAATTCACCTGTAGGAAAATTAGCTAGTCCAATTATAATAAATAATATACCGCTATGATAATTAAATTACTTTTCGAACCGTCGGTCTTAGAATAAAATCCAATGAAAATTGACAGACTTATAGTTGATCAAAGTTCAAATTTTGATCATTTTTAGATACTTGTCTAACTTCTGTTAATTTTTTTTAATCAAAACAATAAAAAAAGTACATGTTTTAAATTTTTTATCGATATTCTATTTAATTACGAAAATTTTCAGCCCAAGTACCCGGCTGAAAAAACTTGTACAAGAAATTGTACATGTTCTTGTACATGTTCATTTATGTCTTTTAAATTAAAAATTAAAAACTTTAAAGGCTGCACAGTAGCTTTCTTAAGCATTTATAGCTGCGCAATAATTTTTAGCATGCATAAGTGAAGAGTCTTAACAATTATAACTTATTAAAATTTCAAATTTTTTTCAAAAACATTTTTAAACAAATGTTCTGGTACAAGAACATAAACGTGTTCATGTAAAAGTACTTGTACATGAAACCTGCACAAAAAAATATGTACAAGTATATTTTCTTGTCCAGGATTTTGTACAAGTTCTGGTACAAGAACATGTCTCAATTCCGGATGCTGAACTTGTTCAAGAACATTTTTTGAACATGTACAAGTAAATATACAAGTTCATTAATGAACATGTACAAGAACTTGTACATTTTCTTGTACAAGTTTTTTCATTTGGGTAGAGCACAATCGGATGAAAAATAAAAATTCTAATAGATTTAGTGAACAAAACAATTTTTTCATTTTATTATGAACAAAATTGACATGGGAAATGATATAGAGAATTGACGTAGGGAATTGACAAAAATAATATGCCAGTAAAAAAATTGTAGGAATCTATTTAGGTTTCTTATGTAAAAACAAAATTGTAAATTCCCACTTGAAATCATACTCCAAATCGTGTCCCAATTTCACATATGGTTCTACATGGGATCCCATGTGGATTCTTATGTGAGACCTGGGATTTCATATGGGTTTCAACATAAAAAAAACTAATTTTTGCAACACTAACCTCTAAAGTTAAATTTTACACACCGAAAAGTGTGTGTAATGAAGCTCTTTTTCAAACGGTGTGTAAAGTGATTCACTTTACGCACTGAAATTTACTTTACGCACCGAAAATTATCTCACATAATATAAGGATTGTTTTAGACCATACAAAACCACAAAATTAAAAAACGAACTTTACTTTTAAATTTATACACTACTACTTAAAGATATTTTTCCTGATCTACGATTGATTTATTTAATTTTATACAATCGAAATTATTCTAATAGTGAGTTGGAATTCTTCATAATAGGTACTTAACTTTAGAGGTGGGTGTTGCAAAAAATGTTGTATGATACACGTGTGTAAATCTGATTATACGAGTGTGAGATTTGCAGCACTCGGCTTCGTCGAGTTTGATACCAAAAAAAAAAGTTTGATACCATTGATACCAAAAACTCATTTTTCGCCAAAATATGAGTTAACCAAGTTTTTACTTCGTACGGCAGAATACCAAGCCTGTCAGTGTTTACTTGCTTGTTCACACCGTTTCCTCTCTTACACCGCAGTGAATAATTTAAACAATTATTAATTAAATTATTTGAGATCAAATTTTTTCCCTCACCGTAATTGAAACATTTTTAATATTTTCATTGGTTCCTATTTCGGCGGGCAAAGTATCTTCAAAATACACGTAATTTTGGTCACCGACATTGATACACCGAAACTGATACAAACGCGCCGCAATAGAAAATTACGGGATTAGTTTTAATTTCTCATATTTGTTTAAATAATCGATTTTTATAAAGTTAAACATTTTTTTAACATCTAAATAACATAACCTTTTAGTTTAATAAGTCTTAAATTTAGTATATACAATAGAAATGTCGAATTTTCTATTTCAAAGGTGTTTTGACTCGTATCACGCCGCAATTAGTGCATTTACCCTACTTATAAAAGAAAATAATAAATTTCTCTTTTTTAAAACGTAAATAACAATATTATTTCAAATGTTTTAAAATTTCTTTAAAGAACTTGTCAAAAAAAAATCCATTTTTTTAAATTCTTGTTCCTAGTTTTGTGTATTATGGTTTACAATTTTTATAAAATTTATTTAATTACATATAGAAATCAAATCAAAAAATGTATATATGTACTTTACACTAACATAAAAAGTGATTACCATAAAAGTTAAAGAAAATTACAAAATTTGTATTTTAAACAAAATGCCTAATTTTAGAAAACGCAGATTGAAAAAAAACTATCTAACTATGTAAAAATAACAAAGAAAATGAATGACAGTAAAATAACCATATATAATACAACCTTATGCAGGGAAAAAAAGAGATTGAATAAATTAAACAGAACTGGACGACATAATTATTCAAATTTTCCTTTTTGTGAAAAAACAGTTTTTTAATTATATACCTTCAAAACGAATCTAATGCAGGTAATATACGTCACCCCCACAGCACCAAAACTTTCCTAAAGATTTCCTAAAGATTTATTTGAAATGTTGGGAATATTTAATTGCAATGTTTAGTGAAAATTGTGTAAAGATTTAAATTTCACACTTGAATAAATGTTCAGCCCAACTAGCACGTAATATTACTGTAATGTTACAGTAATATTACCCGGTAATATTAATGTAATATTACAGTGATATTAAAATGTCCGCCTGATGGTGATATTACCAAGTAATATTACTGTAATACTACGGTAATGTGACAGTAATATTACAGATTGATTTGACCCAAGTAGAAATGTGCCACTGGCATAGTACTGACCCAACACTGCCAGTCAGTATAACAGTACTCACTGCCGTACTGGGCCAGTAGTGGGCCAGCCCTGGCTAGTAACGCTGTCCAGTACTGATTTTGTCTCGCTCACCAGTACTAACGTAGTACTGGAATAATACTGGCATAATACTGGTAAAGTACTCATCCGGAGTTAAAATCTCATTTTTTTACAAAATACTATATAATACTACTCTTTCCATTGCAAATTTCATCCTTATAAGCTTATTACTCCCATTTTTACCACGAAAAGGTAATGTGAGGGTAATAATAGTTAATTTAATTTAGAATATATAAACTATTATTAATAATAAAAAATTAAAATAATAATTATCATATATGTTAATTAAATTATATTATTTTTAATAAATTAATTTACAAAAAATATTTTTGTGTTGTAATTTTTTTTTAATTCATACTATTTAATTTTTTTTAATTTGCACTTATACTTAATTAATTAATTATTTAATAATTAATATTACAGATAAACAAATATTGTACTTATAACACTTAAAACTAAGAATGAAAAATCTCGCACGCATGAGGGATCGAACCCCAAACCCTAAGAACGCAAGTCGGATACGCATACCGCACAGCCGCGCTGGCTTGAAGTGCTGACTTGAAGTAGTTTACCCTAATGCAAAAGTTTTGATTTCGAAGACCGTATTATCTATTGATAACGAAAATAAAATGTATTTATTCTTGAATTTTTTTATCTCACAAAATTTTTAACTAATACAAACAAATATATTTTATATATATAATAATAATACATTACAATTACATCAAAAATTTTGAGAGAAAGTATTGGAAAGAAATTAATAAACATATTTTTTAATAAAAAATCATCGTTTTCTACCTATTGGAATAATTTAAAGACTTTTTCATTTAATGTTTTTTTGCCACCGACATAGTACTGATTCGGTGTGAATGACAGTGTTTTGCCAGTACTGGTTTTAATATTTGTTTACCTTGGATATAGTACTGATTCGGTGTATTAGTCAGTACACTGCCAGTACTGAAAGTCAATACCGACGGCCAGTATTGGATCAGTACCATACCGGTGTTTAATTACGGCGAGCTACGGACATTTCTACTTGGGGAGTTACTCATAAAGCATCACAATCATAAATATATTGTAAGTCAGTGTGGCTTGTTGGTAAAACTCTGGACTTGTGTTCTTTGAGTTCGGGGTTCGATTCCCCGGTTGGGAACATTTTTTTCGTGAAATAATA